ATTAATCAAATTTTTTTATATGTATTTATTTTTGAAATATTTTATGTTATCAATTATCATGATTTATAGTATTTTTACGCAATTTTTAATTATAAAAAAAAATTTAAGACAAATAAATTAAAATGGGCGCAATATATGTTATTTTTGTTGTCTCAATTTATGTGACACAAATGAAATTTGAAGAGCCATCCAAATTTGCATTTAAAAAAAAATTGTTCTAAGTTATTAATTATTGTGATTTATAATATTTTTATGTAACTTTCAAATAACTTACATTGCTGGTCACTTTGTCCTAATTTATGTGATATGGATAAACTTACAAAATTAATCCTTTTAAAATGTCTTTCAGATATTTTAAGTTGTTAATTATTATTATTTATAATACTTTTTTGGTAATTTTGAAATGATATATGTTATTTTTTCTGTCCCAATATATGTGACCCGGATAGAATTTTGAGAGTCAACCTATTTTATTATATATCTTTTAAATATTAAATATTTTAAGTCATTTGTAAATGATTTATTATATTATATTATTATATATTATATTATATTATATATATATATATATATATATATATTATTTATTTCTACTATATAATAAAAGGGGTTTTATTATGATATTATATAATAGTAGAATATATATTATATAAACTCCCTTTTATTATATAGTAGAAATTACAATTACAAAATTAACCCTTTTAAAATGTCTTTAAGATATTTTAAGTTGTTAATTATTATTATTTATAATACTTTTTTGGTAATTTTAAAATGATAGATGTTATTTTTTCTGTCCCAATATATGTGACCCGGATAGAATTTTGAGAGTGAACCTATTTTATTATATATCCTTTAAATATGAAATATTTTAAGTCATTTGTAAATGATTTATTATATTATATTATTATATATTATATAAACTCCCTTATAGTAGGAAAATAAATATATATTATATAGTAGAAAAAATGATTTATTATATTATATATTATATATTATATATTATATATTATATATTATATAGGGAGTTTATGATTGGACATCACAATGTCCAATCATAAACTCCCTCTTATATAATAAGAGAAAATAGAAAAAATAGATGTTCCGTGAAATTAAGATAAAATTTATCATTTAATTTCTATATAGTCTTTATTATTAATAAATTTCATTTTATTTATCGCATCTTAAGCGATATGTCAAGCAATATTGGACAAGTAAAAATAGACGGAGGAAGTTGAAGTCTGCCATTTGTCATCGATAATGCCACTTAGCTTCCATATCAATTGGTGATAATATTATTAAAAAATAAAGAGTAATACTCTTGTGTTTTAATTTATTTGTCTACTTTTAATTTTATACAGAGTTTTAGAAAATAAGTAAGACTTTTAAATTTTATAGTCTTAAATGTGCCATTTGAAAAATTGAAATTAAAAATTTGTTTAAAAAAATAAAAAATTTTAAACGAAATAACAAAAAATTAGAATAAACTAATTAAAACAGACAGTGAGGCAGAGTATGTTAATGTTACATAGAATTAAAAAAAATACAAGTCATTATATTTAAACATACCGGAGGAGATATTATATAGGGATAATTGTACAGAATGACAAACTAATAATGTTAATTAAATGCACTAACTATCGTTTCAGTTATTTTCTTTAATAAGCAAAATCTCGATCACTTTGCTATTATAGGGCCCCACCGATTTGTATAATTTATTAAAAAATAAAACAGACGTTTTTTCTTTTCCCTTTCTTTTATACAATCTCTTCTCCTATTTCCTTCAAATTCTCCCAAATCTTCTCCCCAAATACAATTACAAATTACAAATTTCTCCAGCACGTCCTCGTCTCGTTTTCAAAAGAGAAACATTACTTCAAAAATTTCAGGTACCGCCAAAACTCATCTCATTCTATTAATTTTTGTTAATTTTTTCAATTTAAATGTATATGTATATATAACTTATTTTTTTCAGTCATTTACTATATAATCATTATTTTTACATTTTTTGTGTTGATTCATGTCTTATACTGTTTGCTTATACAATTGTGGTTGTATAAATGTATAATATTAGTAGTTATTGTATAATGTTCCTTTAAACATACACATTTGCTCACACTCATACACTTATTTCTGGGTCAAGTAAAAAAAGGAAAGATAAAACTGACGTTTATACTAATCACAATGATAAAACTGAAGTTGTTGTTTGTGGGTCATTGGACTGTATAATTATGTGGGTCATTGAACTGTATAATCATGTGGGTCATTGGACTGTATAATCATTATTTTTATATTTTTTGTGTTGATTCATGTCTTCTACTGTTTGCTTATATAATTGTGGTTGTATAAATGTATAATATTAGTAGTTATTGTATAATGTTCTTTTAAACATACATATTTGCTCACACTTATACACTTGTGTCTATTTTAATATATTTTAATATGTGAATCAACATTGGCGTTTTTCTTTCTTTAACCTTATACTCAATTTTCAGCTTAATCACATTTATATCAACACTGAGTTGCATTGCAATAACATTATACAACTCCTTATACGATGAACTTTCTTTAAAAATCACCCCCTCAATTGTATAATCAATGTAACAATTGTCATTGTCCCATCTACCGGAATGCATAACAAAAATAGCTAATGAAGCCATTTTCAAAATTTATGTATTAAAAAATAAGTTATATATACATATACATTTATACGATTAAGAATTTCAACAACAAACATAACATATATTTATACAAATTCTAGCAACTTCAGTTATTCACATATATACATATTCCCATTATATACTCATATAAACGTTTATCTACACATTTTGCATATACATTTATATATAAACAATTACATACACAAATTAAATTAACGCGCCTTTTTATTTATTTTTTAAAACAATCAAAATATATATATAAAAAAAAAGACTGACTAGCGAATATACAGAAAGACACATTCATAGAAAATTAAAATTTTGCTACGGACTGCAATTTTATAAAGTTTGCTAAACATACAATTAGCAATTTTTAATTTGCTATACGTAAAATTTTCTCTAATATATATGTTGGCTAATCGGATATATATGTGCTTGTGTTGCTTACCATTTTGACACCTTGCTAGCTAGTGTGTTTAGTAGGGAAGAAAACATTTTTTCGAATTTTCTCATATGGTCAAAAATCTATTAGAATTTTTTTTCTTCAAAAACAATTTCTTTGAAAATGAAAAAAAATAGTTTTCCTAATAAAACTAAAGGAAACAAGTTCAATAATTGACCTTCCAAATTAATTGTTTTCTCTTCGCCCACCCACCCCTTGACCATTAAACCCAAGTACCCCACCACACCCAAACCCTCACTTTCCATTCCATTTCGCTCATGTAGTATTTTGTTAGATTATATATAAATGAGATAAGTGTCAAAAACACACCTAAACTATACCCTTTTTTTTAGTTTCATACTTAAACTATTGAGAGTGTGAGTTTCATACCTAAACTATCACTTTTTAGTTTGAGAAACACACATATCTTTTTTATACCACTTTCATCATGGTGTGTAATACACTCTCTTTTATTTTAAAAAATTGTCACATCACACTCCACATGGACTAAACATTCAACCTTGACAAAAATTAAACAAATTATTAGTATTAGTTAAAATTAAAAATTAAAAAATTATTATCCAAAAAAATAATATTTCTTTTATAAAATAAAATGCAAAATATTTTTCTTAACCCACTCCATCACTTCCTCTCACCCCCCCCCCCCCCACCCGACCAATTTTTTTAGTTTTTTTTTTGTTTAAATTTATTTTATAAAAGTATTTAATTTTTTTTACTTCATCTCCCCCCCCCCCCTCAAATACTAATTTATATTATTATTCTTATTTTTTAAATAATTCTAACCACCCCACCTAACCCTCCGCTTCCAAATTTTTTTCTCATTTTGTGTTTGATATATACATATCGAAAAAAAATTTTACTTGACGCCGCAAGACTTTTTTTAATTTTTTATGTTATATTCGGTACACTAGTAGAAACTTTTTTTTTCTAAAAATATATGTACGTACATATCTAACACAAAATGAGAGAAATGTAAAAAAAAAATTAAGAGCGGAGGATTAAATAGAATGGGGTAGAATTTTTATTTTTTAAAAAATAAAATAATATCAATTTTTTTGTTGGGGGGATGGGGAATGAGTGGGTGGTTTTTTTTTTGGGAGGGGGGGCGGGGCCGGGGAGAGTGAATATGATTTTTTTAAAAATATTTTATAACATATATTTTTTTAAAAGGATGGGCGATGGGGGTACGTGGAGGAGGTGGTGGAGTGGGGTAAGAAAAATAAGTTAAATTTTATTTTTTAAGATTTTTTTTTTTATGGATAGTAATACTTTAATCTTTAATTTTTAATTAATATTAATAGTTTATTATTTAACTTTTGTCAAGGTGGAATATTTTATTCATGTGGAATGTCATGTGTCAAGGTTTTTTCAAATAAAAGGAGTGCATTACACACACTACTGAGGTGCGTTTTTCAAACTAAAAAGTGATAGTTTAGATATGAAACTCACACTTTCAATAGTTTAGTATGAAACTAAAAAAATAAGATAGTTTAAGTGTGTTTTTTACACTTATCTCTATATAAATAGTTTTAAAATGATATTTTTTTGTTTACTTATCGAACACCAGAAAATAAGTAAGAAACCCATTTTTTAAAATTAAAACATTGAAGAATATTTTCAAAGTCTTCCGTGTTTCTAGGACTACTTTAAGCTAGTAAAAAGAACACGTTCCATTGCTTATTTTGATACATATTTCTTACTTAATTTGCAAGAGAAAAAAACAGTACCATATACTTTAGAATCTTAAAGTAGAATAAATTAGTACTATTAATGTCACAGGAATTTTAAACTTTTGTTTGCTTTAGTTTAACATTAGCAATTTAAAGCATAAAGAGGATAACATAAAGACAATACCCAGCTAGGAAAAGATTCCTTTTTTTCAATATGGAAATGCTCTTGATCACATTACTTTTATTGCTAAAAAACACCAGCAAACTGCAAAATTACAATTGAAATAAATATAAAAGTACATGATACATATTACACCAAACAATTCACTCAACAGTACACATAAATTATGGTAAATACAAAACACAAAATCATTAATTTCAATTATTCACAAATGCACAATGCTTCCTGATTTCACCAGCACTCCCTGTCTTAACTTCAACTCTTCCCATTTTCTCCATCGATTTACCAAATTCATCGAAAAATTCTTTGAGTGGTCCATCGACAAGCTGCTCGATAAATGATTTCGTTGAGGTACGTGTTGTCAATGCTGCATCGGATTGGAATAGACCTCTCCTTTTGAGCAAAAGTTTGAAGTAGCTAAGATCAAATGTCTTGAAACTACCTGGATCCATCTCGACTATAGTAGTATTATCGTTGATTGATCTGCATTTTCTTGACTTGAGATTATCCGCGTATTCACTGTCTAGAGATGGATCTTGTGTACCTAGAACCCCAGTGAAATTGTATAGACGCTCTGAAAATGATGAGCAACGAGACACTCCAATAGTATGGGCACCTACAAGAAAATAGTACTATATTTAGTAACTTTATCATAGTATAAACTGTCGGTATGTAGAACTTAAACTCGTACCTGATAGAAGGACCAGATCATTCAGATCAAGACCTTTCTTCGCGAAAGACTGTTGTAGTCTAGTGAAGTTACTAGTTGGAGCTGGGATATCAGCATTGGCTTCTGAGACATTTGATATCGTTCCATCTCTTCTACCAGTTGGTACATTCCAAAAAGGACCTCCCTATCACCCCAAACACAAAGATAATTAGATACATAAAAGCAGAACACCTCTAAACTTGACGTATTTTATTCAGATCTACTAAACCCCTAGACATGGTTATTCAAAAAATTTCACTTACTGTAGCCACAACTGCATCTCTAGCAACCAACGCAACAATATCAGCACAAGAAACAACTTCGGGGCATTCAGCTTCAACTAATCTCTTCACAGCATCAATGAATGAGAAACCTCTTACTGTCAGATTAGGATTAGCTAGTTTTTCCGTCTGATTTCCGTTAGTCGAAGTGAAATTAAGAAGTACAGATCCATCACAACCCTGCAAAGATCAAATCAAATACAAAGAATCAGAACATAAAAAAACTCTGTATGCAAAACAGGGCAAAAATCACACTCTCGGATCTCATTTTACCTGTCTTAGTTTGACTGGACAAGAAATTCAAGAAAATAAAAATGATTTCTAAATTTTGTAGTCTTAAACATGTCAGGTAGAATACTGAACTACTAAAAATGAAAGTGAATCATGTAAATGGAGAAAGTAATAATACATTACCCTGACAAAGCAATCATGGAAATGCATTCTGAGTATGGCTGCTGCAGTATTTGGAGCCTTAGGAACTTGTTGCTCAACAAAATCTTTAATAATTTTCTCAGCTTTTGGACAGCTTTTAGCATAGAAATTAAGCTCCAATTGAGCATTTGCATAACCTATGATTACACATAATACCAAAACACTCATCAGATAGCTAAATGAAGCCATTTGTTATTTGCTTTGTCTCAAAGAAACTTTTGTTTTTCTTTGATGTGTTTTTGTACTACACACATATCAACTCAATTAGCAAAATAGTGAATTTATAGGGGACCTAGTGAGCTTGCTAATCAAGCTAGTAACTAACCATATCATTATTTTATTTAAATATGAACTCTTTATAACAATATAAAATGGTTTTGTTTTAGACTCTTTCTAATTGGACTCATTCTGTATGATTTATGTTCCTTATTCATGTTGACTCAATTTTTTTTGATACAAAAAATTCTTATATGCTCCTTTTTTAAAAATCTTTTTAATTTATTCAATTTGGTATACCTGCTCCTGTAATAGATATTGATGTTTATGACTGTACATGCATGCGAGGTACACAAGTTACTGTGTTTTTTTATATAAAAAAATAGAGGTACAAGTTATTTTATTTATATTTAAAAAAAAAAGAAAAAAGTGGAACAAGTTATTTCAATAATTAAAAATCTTAATACCTGCTACCATTACAATTCTAACAGCTCATGTATTAGGTTTTTGTCATATTCTTTTGTTAATCCAAAATTGTAACTGTTGGAGCTGGTTTGCTACTTATTGTTTTATTTCAAATGTGTTGTATAATGGATTTTGCATAAGCATTGTAATGTAATGTAGGGACACATTTTGTCAGTAGTTCACAATTCAAAGAGTCTGTTTGGATGAGTTTATAACTTATAGTTGTCTGTCAATGGTTAAAACTTCGCTACTTTAACTTTATTTATAGATAAAAAAATATTATTTATAATCTACTTTGTTAATATATTTTTAGTTAGTTTATAGTTTTCAATGTTTATTTATTTTATTTTAAATTTGAGCTTGTAAAATTTTGTAAATATTATATATATAATTTAATTTTATTTATAGATTAAAAAAATGCTATTTATAATCTACTTTGTTAATATATTTTTAGTTAGTTTATAGTTTTCAATGTTTATATATTTTATTGGGAAAATTGTATATAATAGCAAACTATTAATTCAAATTAAATGCTATAAATATAGTTTGATTTAATTGTACCCCATAGCAAACTATTGCTATTTAACCTCTCTCCTGGTGAATCTCGCTCGCCACTCTCGTTCTCTCCCTCGCCTCTCTCGTTTTTTATACAAACTCAAGTGTATAAAATGCGTTTGTGTTTGTATAAAGCGAGAGAAAATTGTATATATACATATATTTTCGTTCCCCTCTCTCCCCTCTCCCAGATCTCGCTCTCTCACTCGCCTCTCTCACTTTATACAAAAACCGCAAATTGTATAAAATGTGTTTGTGTTTGTATAAAGCGAGAGAAAATTGTATATATACATATATTTTTGTTCCCCTCTCTCCCCTCTCCTAGATCTCGCTTGCCACTCTCCCAGATCTCGCTCTCTCACTTTATACAAAAACGCAAATGTATAAAATGCGTGAAAATTGTATATATACATATATTTTCGTTCTCCTCTCTCCCCTCTCCCAGATCTCACTCGCCACTCTCCTAGATCTCACTCGCCACTCTCCCAGATCTCGCTCGCTCACTCGCCTCTCTCACTTTATACAATTGATCTTTTTGTATATGTATACCAAAATAGATTATACAACTGCTTTTTTTTTGTATATGTATAGCGAAATATACATATTGATGTTTGTTATGGAGCGCAATTATGCAAAGTTTGCTATAGCATACAAATATGAATTTTGTGTTTGCTATATGTGAAAGTTGCTCTATTTTATTTCAAATTTGGGCTTGTAAAATTTGTAAATATTTTATTTTGCATTAAGATCCGAAGTTACAAGTATATTGTTATAGTTTTTCAAATTCGAAGTTAACAATTTACTTTGTAAATATTTCGTTTTGTATTCAGTTTGACTGTATCCTTTAATCTTATTAATTAATTTAACATAATGAACGTTGATATTTCAAAAAAAAAAATTGTAATCATGTAAATTTTACCGTTTTTACTAAAATTTCTATTCATTTAACATTTCTTAAGTTTAGCTTATCACACAGGTAAGTGAAAATATATTTGATCACATTTTCAAATATCGTATAGTTGTAAAAAACTGAAAAAATGAAAAAAAAAAAAAACGAAAGAACCGACTAAAACCGAGATCGAAAAAATCGACTTTGGGTGGTTTGATTTGGTTTTTAGATTTAATAAACCGACATAATTGGTTTAGATTTTTTTTTAATGAAAAACCAAACCAAACCGACCTATGTACACCCCTAATACTTATTACCTTTTATTTATAAAAAAAAAAAAAGTACTTATTATCTTCACTTCATCCTTATTACTACATAAAAATAATAATATAGAATTCAAATAAATTATAATAATATTGTATCCACAAAATATGAGAGAAATTAATAATTTACATTGTGTTACAATAATTGTTTCTTTCATAAAATCATACTCTAAGAGCTAGTGGTGATGGCTTGTCGGTAGGATAATTGAAATTTGAAATCACGCTGGCTCTACATGCTTAGAAAAATAAAAAGGCTGTGTCTTAGCCCTTGAAACTTGGGGTCTTATTTTTTTATTTTAATAATAATAGGTAATAGGTATTTTTTTTAATTATTATATTTTTGAATATTATGTATAGAAAATGTAAAATTTTCAAGGAAAGAATCGTTCGATCTAACACATCTAGATTATTATATCTCAAAAAAGATTAAATGAATAATTATAATAAATTTTATAATTATCATATCAAAATTTAACACTTCAATATAATTTTGGCTTTAGGCTGTTAATGTACTTTGAGTCACCCGTGTAAATAAAAATATCTAGACGAATAGGATATTATGGAAGATGAGAATAGGGAATGTAGGGGTGATGAGGATGGTGGCTACGAAGATGAAGTGAAGATGAAGTATATAAAAGGTTATGGAAGATACAATTAGCGTGGTATTTGTTTAATTAGTTGTTTTTCATATTTTAATTACGAAAATTATTTTTCTCAATAATTTTTTCTTCTAAACTTTATCCAACAGAGCAAAAAAAAAATTAAAATATTTTTCTCCGTATCGAGCATACCCAAAGTCTTCATGTTTCACAAAATAGGGGGTTGTCGCCGAACAAACTATTTACCATATAGTTTCTTCAATCTTCCATATAAAGTTTGCAACCTTGTCGATATCCTTCTTTGTATTTTCTTAATTTAATTTTATTCCATTAATTTGAAAAGAAAAAAATAATCAATCAACGTCTTGTCATTTGTGGGGAAAAATTGGAAAAAAAAACTTTAAAATTCAATTGCTTCGAATATCAGAAATGACAACTATAAAAGAACATACTTTTTGAAATAAGAGGTATAACTTAATGATAAATTGTCTATTTCTTTTTCATTTCTCATTAATAGTAATAGCTACTAGGATTATTCTTTTGATAAAAGCTTAATTAGATCAGTAATCTCTATTTGGCTTTATCTTTATTGGGGGGAGAATATAAGAATGTGCATGGATATTAAAAGACGTACGTCAGCGATTTTTAATTAATTTTTTTGTGATTAATTATAACAATTAATAGTCATAATACAAGTATATATTTCACTTTTTCTTTATCCATGTTGTCTCAAACTTTTTGCCAACTGTTGTGGTGTTTTATTTCCAGGCTGTCTAATTAGCTTCTTTATTAGGGAACAAACACCACTAATATCTTTAATTTTATTCTTTGTTAGTCATGTCCCTTTAAATTAGTTGTTACTATATCAAGTCACTACTAAATAATGAGGAAATCGACGGACAGGATTGATCCAAAAAAATTGAAGGGATCGATGATGTATAAGTCTATTGATGTATAGCCAATTTTTTCTTTAAAATCCGGCTTTGTTTATCGATTTTGGCTTTCGTTTTTTTTTTTTTTACCAAGGATACTTCAAAGATCCTTTTGATATATCTTCTTATTTTAATTAGGATAGAAATTTGTCTAGAGGGAGAAGCTATATTTGCAACTCTTGGAAAACAATTTTTGCTTCTAATAATAATAAGAAGAAACTACTTGTTTCCCTTTTTAAAAAATATATATTATTTAAGGTTATTTGGGGTGTTATATATTATGAGGCAAATACAAAAAAGGGGATTTGACCTTACCTCCTAATACAACACAAGAATAAAAACTTATCCTTCACAAAAAAGGAAAGGGGAGGCTAACATAGACAGTCCAACCCTAGCAAAAGGCCTACTTGTTCAGTTTTTTAAAAATAATTTATGTTACCATTACATAAATATATTATACACATCACTATAATAAAAAATGCTTTTAGCAGCTCTAAATATGCACATTAATAAAGAGTGTTACTCCCTCCGTTTCATTTTATATGTCATTTTTTTGCTTTGCACTTGCATTAAGAAATGATGTAACTTTCTACCCTTATTTAATGTTTTCTTAAGTCAACTTTATTAATAAATGACAAGATTAATTAACTATTCTATCAAGGGTATAATAGACAAAATATGGTAATTTATGCAGAAATTTTATAAAATGACAAGATTGTGGTCCAACTATTTATATAAATGGATGACATATAAAATGAGACGGAGGGAGTAAATTTTAGTACTCCCTCCATTCCATATTAAGTTAATTTTGAGGCATTTTCTATTTTTCCAAATTAACTTAATTGTTCAGTTTTCAAGACTAGTGTTCTTCCAATTTTACCCTTCATTAGTTAGTATTGAAATTAGTGATTAATAAATATTTAGTTATTTTAATCATAAATTTGACAATAATTAATAAGGGTAAAAATGGAAAATTAAGTTCAATTTATGTCTTAATCTACTTTTCTTAAAGGGTGTGAAACACCTTAAAAATTAACTTAATATGGAATGGAGGGAGTAGTTAACCGTCACAGAATTCAATGTCCCTATAGATTTTAGAATTCAATATCTCTATAGGTTTTAGAGATATTTATAAAGAGTATTAATCGCTTTAAAAAAATATTTAATGAAAATTAAGCTATTTTCTTTAATTATGCTGTCAATTTTTTTTTGGCGTAGTCCTAAAAGATTGACCTCGCACTTTTTTGACTTATTCCTTTTTGATATCCAATACTTG